ATAGATAGATAGATAGATAGATAGATAGATAGATAGATAGATAGATAAACAAGCAGGCAAATAAATAAATAAATAAATAGGCAAGCTGAGGGTGGGATGAGGTGGGTGTTGCTGCTGCACGTCTTTAATCCCAGCACTGGGGAGGCAGAGACAGGTGGACCTCTGTGAGTTTGAGGCCAGCTTGGTCTACAAAGCAAGTTCCAGGACAGCCAGAGCTACATAGTGAGACTCTGTTTCAAACAAACAGACAGACAGACAATAAGGGGAGGAAGGAGGCAGAGGCAGGCAGATCTCTGTGAGTTTGAGATCAGCCCGGTCTACAAAAGCGAGTTCAGGACAGGGCTACACAGAGAAACCCTGTCTCAAATCAAAAGGGAAAAACAAAACAAAACAAAAAAACAGAACTCGTGAGATGGAAAAAAGGTCAGTTACCATATAACCCTGGTGACCTGCACCAGGAAAAGCGAGTAGGGAGAACTGACTGCACAGAATTGTTTTTTTGACCTCCGCATGTGTGCGGTGGCACACTGACCCTCACGTGCACACACATACACAGGCATACACACTAATAATGCAGTAGTTTACATTACAAAAGCAGAGGTTGGAGAGATGGCTCAGTAGTTAAGAACACCAGCTGGTTTTGACCCAGGTTGAATTCCCTCCGTGGGCATCAAGCAAACACGTCATTTACAGGCAGACATATAGGCAAAACACCCATAAGAAATAAAGTAAAAATCATCCTCCCCCCCCCAAAAAAAAAACATACCTAAAACTAACAATGACAAGAAGACCCCAGCTATATAGCATTAGAAAGAGAGGAGCCAGTTGGAACAGGCCCCCAGGCTTTGTAGACCAAGCTGGCCTCAAACACAGGCCATGTCTCCATCACTGGACAGAGAGAAGGACCTAATACTTCCCTTGACCTGTGTTCCCAGATGGCCTCCACCCCCACTGAGCAAGAGTCACAGAGTGCTGATGGTCAACATTCCCACCTCTCGTTCATGTGAGCCCCACTGTCTGTACCAAGCTTGGGCCATAAAAAAAAAACTGTGTGGCAGAAAGGAGCGATTAGCCATTTTGGGGTCCTGGGAACCTGGTAGGAGGTGGCCTCCCCTAGGAATTCGCGCCGGCGGATGATGATCACAGCTGATGATGCCGACGACTTGCCTTTCCAGAAAACCTGTCCTTGTCCAGGGAGTGGTGCTCCCGCATCCAAAGCTCTAACAAGAAGAAAAGGATGGATACAACCTCCGTTGTCTTCCTGCACGGTTCTCACAACCGTGCTCAATCTCTGAGTGACCTTCTGGTAGTCGCCACTCAGGCCCGTCTGGATCCTCGGCCTACCAGAAGCCATTCAGGTACTACAAGGCATCCGGACACACAGGACCTGAAGCACACAACCACTGTCTGTCTCTGGTCAGAAAGGATGTGAAAGGAGTCAGGTGGGTGCCTTCCCTTGTTCCACGGACAGGTTGGTTCTTTGTCAGCTCCTCTCTTGACTTCTCTGGAGTGTTGAGTATGTAGGAGGGTGGACGGGTTGATAAAGACGACAGTTAAGTCAGTAGCCGAGACTCTCCTCAAAATGGACACAATGGCTGGCGCGTGCTTGTAATCCCAGCACTTGAGAGACAGGGGCAGGTGGATCTCCGAGTTCTAGGCCAGCCTGGTCTACAAAGCAAGTCCAGGACAGCCAAGGCTACACAGAAAAACCCTGCCTCGAAAAACTTAAAAAAAAAAAGTGGCCCTTGCTTGGCCTGCTTCTATACTACTGACCTCCCTTTACCACGAGGTATACTTTGCCTTGCCCTGCCTACGGCTGAAGTTGGGACAGCCACAAATCCCGATCCCAGAGCCGGAAAGAACCTTGTCAATGTCAACAAGTTGACACTTTCAAGCTGCACAGCCTATATCACTACCATCAGAGGCCGGCCCTGCAATGAGAAGGGACAGGATGACGGGACAGAGGACCTGTGTGGGAGGGCCGGGGGGCCTCCAGATCGCTCCTTCAGAGTCTTAGTGCCTCTGACAGTGTAGGTCATGTACAAAAGAGAAGAGACTGGCGCTGCTCGGAAGTCCACCATTGCCCCTCACTCCTGCTGTGGAACCAGGTTGCTACCGGATATGCTGACCCGGCCGCCTGCTTGCCAGTGTCTCAGCCTGTAGTAGGGTCTTGAGTAATAGTAGCCCGCAGGCTTCCCCTGAGTGTTTGTGGAAATGCGTATTAAATGTGCCTGCTGCCTGGGCTCTCATGGTAGAAAGAGACAACTGACTGCTGCAAATAGTCCTCTGACCGCCACAAATGTGCCCCACGTTACTGTGATAAGAAAATTTAGTGAATATTTTAGCTTGGACGGTGGCTTATGCCTGTATTCCCAGGACTCACGGGGCTGACGCTCAGCCACTTCATGTACCCTGGGCAAGCAAGGAGAGACACAGAATAACCCTGTGAAATGGGAACCAGGTGGTGTTGGTAGTACATACTTGTCATCCCAGCACTTGAAAAGCAAGAGGCAGAAGGAGCACCACAGGTTCAAAGCCAGCTTAGTCTACCTAGAAAGCTTTAAACCAGCCAGGGCTACAAAGTGAGACCCTGGTTCAAAGAAAAACAGGCCTGGTAGTTCACAGCTGTGATCCATGCAGCAGGAAAGTCTGAAAAGCCACGAGTTAAAGGGATTCATGGACATTGAGACCAGCCTAGGCTACATAAGACTGTCTCAAAGAAGGAGGGGGAGGAGGAGGAGGAGGAAGAGGAAGGGGGAGTAATGACATTACAGATTCCCACTGAAAGCTTTTATTAACACTCATGCCCCAGGGAGGGGGCCTTCTAGGGTAGAGGTTCTTAACCCAAAGGCCTAAGGGCCCAAATCCAGTCACCAGATCCCACAAGGTGCCAGGAAGCTGTCCTTTGACCTCCATGAGTGTTCTGTGGCATGAACAGGCATGTACATGCACACACAAAAATAAGAGTGCATTTATTTGTTTGTTTCTTGGTTGGCTGGTTGGTTGGTTAATTTTCTCGAGACAGAAGACAGGGTTTCTCTGTGTAGCCCTGGCTGTCCTAAACTTGCTCTGTAGACCAGGCTGGCCTCCAACTCACCGAGATCCGCCTGCCTCTGCCTCCCCGAGTGCTGGGATCACAGGCGTGCGCCACTGTGCCCAGCAAGAGTTTATTTTCATTATTTAAAATGTTAGCCTTTGTCTTTATTTTATTTGTAGTAGTGTTTTACTTGCATGTATGTCTCCACTTTGCACCGTGCGCATGTGCAGTGCCCTGGAAGGCCAGAAGAGGGCACCAGAGCCCCTGGAACTGGCCTTACAGATGGTTATGAGCTGCCCTGTCAGGCGCTTGAAATTGAACCCTGGTCCTCTGAAAGAGCAGCCGGTTCTCTTAACTGGCGAGCCGTCTCTTGAGCACGTTCATCAATTTTAATTTTGTGGCTATGAGCATGTGTGTACAATGAGCTGAAGCTATGGGTGGCTGTGGGCTGCCCCACGCCCCCTCGCGGGTGCTGGAAGTCAAAGTTCAGTCCTCTGGGAGAGCAGTGAGTTCTCTTTCTCCACCAGAAAGCGTTTATTTAGTAAGACTGTCAGTACGAACTGGTAATCGAGGTTGGAGATGTAGCCCTGATGTAGAACACTTGCCTAGAATGCACAAGGGCTTAAATTCTGTCCCTAGTACCGCAGATAAGAATAGTGACGGAAACAGTAATAAAAATCAGAAGCCGGACGCTGGGCACAGTGGCGCTCGCCTGTGATCCCAGCACTCGGGGAGGCAGAGGCAGGCGGATCTCTGTGAGTTTGAGGCCAGCCTGGTCCTCGAAGTGAGTCCAGAACAGCCAAGGCTACACAGAGAAACCCTGTCTCAAACAACAAACCAAAAAAGTCAGAAGCTGGCCTAGAGAGATGGCTCAGAGGTTAAGAGCACTGTCTGCTCTTCCAGAGGTCCTGAGTTCAATCCCCAGCACCCACATGGTGGGTCACAACCATCTCTACTGAGATCTGGTGCCCTCTTCTGGCATGTAGGCACACATGCAGACAGAATACTGTAGAAATAATAAATAAATTCTTTTTAAAAAAAAATTAGAAGCCACACACACACACACACACACACACACACACACACACACACACAAGAAATGGGGATTTACATTGGGTCAGCATGATAACCAGGTGTGGTAGACAGATCATCTCAAGTTTGAGCCCAGTCTAGGATACAGAGTGGGGCTTTGTCTCAAAAATAAATAAAATAAATAGAAGCATGAAGAGAGGGCCAGGTAAAGCACTTCCTGCATTGACTCTAGAATAAAACTCTGAACCCTAACAGAAAGGAGTAAACACAGCACTATCCTTTTTGTCTTCCCCAACCACATCAGTAATTTCCTAAGAGCAGAAACTGTCTCCCAGTTTGACCAGGGTCGTTCTTTAGGTTGTTCTGTTTCTCTTACTCATCTCTTCTTTCTGTCTGTCTAAAGATTTTTTTTTTTTTTGCTTTGACTCTTTTCTTTTTTAAGATTTATGTATTTTAGCCATATGTGGTGGTGCCCTCCTTGATTCCCAGCACTTGGAAGGCAGAGGCAGGTGAGTCTCTGTGAATTCCAGGACCAGGCCAGCTTGGGCTACACAGTGAGTCCCAGGACAGCTAGGGCTTGGCAAAGATTTATGTACTTTTTAAAAAAAATGTGCACAAGTGTTTTGCCTGCCTTTTATGTATGTGCACCGTGTGGATGTCTATGCTCACAGAGGCCAGGAGAGGGCACTGGACGCCCTCAGATGCCTTCAGACACAGACGGTTGTGAGCTGCCATGTGGGTGCTGAGGCTTTAACAAAGGGCAAGAGATGTAGGTCTCATGACTTCTGAGCCGTTTATGTTTATTCTTAATTACGTCTATGCGTGTGCATCAGCATGGGGTTGGTACACATGGGGGCTGTCCTCTCGGAGCCAGAAGAGGGCATCTGATGCCCTGGAGTTACAAGTGCTTGTGGGTCGCACCATGTGGATGCTGGGAACCAAACACAAGACCTCTGCGAGAGCAGGGCCTGGTCTTAGCTGCTAAACCATCTCTCTCCTCCCTCCCTCCTTCCCTCTTTCCTTCCTTCCTTCCTTCCTTCCTTCCTTCCTTCCTTCCTTCCTTCCTTCTCCCCTTCCCTTTTTCTCCTCTTTCCTCCTTCTCCACATCCTCCTCCTCCTCCCCTCAGTCTAGCCCAGTGCTTGTGAGCCTCCTGCCTCAGCCTTTCACTTTCTTGGATTATAGTATAAGCCATCACTTCTGCCTTTGAGTCACGTAGTTCTGATGGCCAACTCCCAAGATCTGTGGCACCCATTTTCCTTTTTCTTTTCTTTCTTTCTTTCTTTCTTTCTTTCTTTCTTTCTTTCTTTCTTT